ACCCAGAACTGCACTGTTTCTTCTTTGTCAGATGTTGACTGGTTCATTGCAGTCTCTCCATCGATGGATTGGTAGAAATGTTTCGGGTTCATTTGAAATTGGAGATTCTGCCTATAGTGTGCAATTCGAGCTTCATATCTACTATTCTTCTTGGCTACGGCTGTTACTTGCTGCTTTATTATTTCCAGTGCTTCCCTGATCTTGTTTCTAGGTGATATTTCTTGATAAGGTATTCTTTGATCTTCTTGTTCTTCAGCTTCTTTTCTTTCATCTGTTCTAGCTTGCTTGCATCTTGTATTAGCACGCTGATCTTCTTTTCTAACTTAATTTTCCATTTAGTGGTGCAGTTTGGCTTTTTTTCTTGTTTGTTGATTTTGCATCCAAGGTATTGAGTTATAACTGCAGCCGTGCTGTACATCAGTTGGTTGTTTCTTGCAGTGAGCTGGTGTTTATATTTAATATTACAGTATTGGCATCTTTTAATACTTGTGCTGTTTCTTTGTAACAAGCTTCAATGCAGGCAACTGTACTGTGCTCTTTTTGTGCTGTTCTAGATACTCAGTTATTCTTTGTTTCAATTCCTTTTGTTTTTTAGTTAGAGGGCTTTGCTCTTTCTGAGGAGAAGGCAGAGGAGAGGGTGCCTGGTTTGGGAATGAAAACGATTCAATAGCTATGCTGCCTTCCGCTACTGCCAATTCCCCCTGGTTTGCTTCTACAGCCTGAGCTATTTCTGGCAAGGCTTTGATTTCTTTGCCCTAGATAGAACTTTTCAGTTCTTCCAATTCTACTTCTGTGAATACTTTATTTCGTATTATAAATCAACGTTGATCTGCAAGTCTCTGTTCTGTTATTTTTGATTCTGGATGTTGCTCTTTGTTTTCAGCCTTTGTATATTTGCAACAGGTAAACAACTTTTCTTCCAGTAGTCCTGTACCTGTTGGCCCTGGATGCTCAGCCAACTGTCCTGAGTCCTGTAGCCCACTTGTCACCAAATGTCCAGGAACTAGAACACCTAGCACAGTCCTTGTTGACTGGAGTGACGACTGATCCGGTATAGGTTTCTGTAAATTACGTCTCACCATATTGTTTATGGGAGAGACACTCTTCGTCTGGCTCCTCTGATGAGACCTGTCCAGTATGGCTGAACATCTGGCATAGCTCTCAACCTCCTCAGAGCACGCAAGCCCCAAAACCATGTCAAGGCAGTGCTTCACTAGGGGATGATGACAATTTCCCACCGTTTATATATTTTGGCCAACTCAAGGCAAAATATTGTGCCTATTTCCCCCACAACAGCAACCCTCTGAGGTCCACTGGGCTGAGAGAGAGTGGCTGGCCTAGAACTCAGAGTCTGTTTTGTTTCTCTGAATAAGAAATTGGCCCCTGCACAGTACTCTTTTGCACTACAAATCACTATTGCTGTCCTGAACACCCTTCTGTCTTGCACAGCTGATTTGTCTATGGATGTACTAAAAGGTGAAACAATTCCATGCCTTACTTTGTCTCTGAGCAAGAACATGTTTTAAGAATGTTTGTTCCTTGTAGATAATTATTCTCGTGGTCATTATAACAACATTCTTATCCCATATATGAAAGTTTGCTTGTATTTATAACTTAAGACTTTCTATCTGAGGCTTTTACTGAATTATTCTGAACATACATAAAGAAAATTGCACATTTTTAAAAATATTGTCATATGTACATTGCAAGTCATTTTACTATCCTTTTTTGGTCTTGTTTCTGTTTCTATGGTTCCCATGGAAACAAATATCTTTTCTGAAATATGTTGGGCCTAAACAATTTTGGTTTTTTTGAGCTGCTTTTGAGTCCCCTTGTTTACTTCACTGCTTACAAAAATCAGCAGGAATATTTAAGAATAAAGAAAATAAATGTCACAAAGATGATGATGATATTTTTATCCCACCTTTTATTTATATATATTTATATATATATAATTCAAGGCAGCAAACATACCTAATAATCCTATTTTCCCCATAACAACAATCCTGTGAGGTGTGCTGGGCTGAGAGACAGCGACTGGCCCAAAGTCACCCAGCCGGCTTTCATGCCTAAGATGACGATGATGATAATAGTAATTACCTACTAATTAATAATAATAACAACTTACTGGTGTCCTTCATTGTAACCATATTTTGGAATAACCAGATAAAACGGTGTTTGGCCACCTTCAAAGCCTATTCGAGGGAGTGACCCAGATTTCTTTTGCCCTTTAGTTTTCTTTGTAGGATTATGCCTTCCACGGCCTTGTCTTTTTTCCTTAAAAAGAGTAATATGTTTACATGAGTTTCATATTCAAATTAAATTCAGTTCTGGCCTCATCTTATATTTCTTTGTCCTGATGGGCCATCTCATTCCTTACAACTCCACTTCAGTAATGACTGCACAAACAACATTTTAAAATATCCCCACCATTTAGATATGTAAACAACTTTATATATATTCTGCACTGCTTGGCAAAGGAACAAGTTGGCATATTTTTAAAAAGGATTAAGAAAACATCCAGGTGAAAGAAAAACATTGTTACAATAACACAGTAACACCAAATAGATGAACGGTATTCTTGAACATCCATACAAAGCTTTAATTTTTAATTCTGTTTGTTGCGGGTTCCTTCGGCTACATGAGAAAGTGCCGCAATAAATGAGTGGCCTTTTAAATATATACTACAAAAGTCTCTGAGGCATCCGGCTGGATAAAAGAGACAACTATGAATTATGAATTCTCACATTCCAGTAATCCATTTATTCAAAATATATGGACAGGCCGCCGTTAACTAAGTTCACACCGCGGAAGAACCAAAACTGAGTCCACGCATTTAATCCGATTCCCTGTTGCACTGATGGCTGTACAGGCCTATATTGTGAGGAGGGGGCCGCAAATGCGAAAACTACTAGCAGTCCTACCAAAAGGGCTGAGGGAGGGAGGGAGGGAGGAGCCCCGGGGACGGCTTCCGTAGCATGGGATGCCTAGGTCTCTTCCGTCCCCGCGAAGACAAGGCAAGAGCGGCCTACGTTGCAGTAGCGGCCCTGCGGGGAGCGAGACAACACAGCAGGCCGCCAACTCACCTTCCGCCGGGCACCAGGGTTAGGCCGTAGGTTGGCGAGGCTGACCCTAGGCAGGCTCCGCAAGAGCTCCAAGGCTTTCATCCTGTTCCCCCCGCCAGGTGCCCGCGTGGCCGCCATCGCCTTCGCGCAACGAACCCAGAGCGACAGCGAGGAAAACCGCCGCAACGGAGAAAAAGGGCAGGCTCGTCCGCGGTCTCGGCGCAGGCGCAGGAAGACGGTCGCTCGCGCTCCAGCCATAGAGAAACGAAAGGTAAAAGGAGTCGTCCTCACGGTTTGCTTCAGGGTCTGCTTTTCATTGTGCTCGCGAATGGTGGAAAATCAGTGTGTGCGAACAATCGTCGGGAAACCGCAGCATTACGGTTTGGGTAATTTCGTAGCGTAGCAAACTGAAATAAGCTTTTTGTGTGATCCCTTTGGTCTGATGTTGAGAAAAGCGTAACGTGATGATTGGGCATAGTATAGACACAAAGGGGCCATTTGAAAGTGATCTGCTCTCTAAAAACACTTGTGCATCTGAATGCATTGTGATTCCACGGGCTGTTTATAACACGCACTTTTTAGTGCGCTGTGTTGGAGATCTGTCTCTGAGAAGTTTGTCCATTAAACTACGGTACAGTGAGTTCGGATTACTTTTATTTTTCAAGAGTCATTTCAAGCTCCTGTTTTATCAGCTTAAGTGTAAGAATGCAGATTGCATGGTAGAATTGGTGCAAGCTGCTGTCTCTCGGACTAAACACACCTACCACCTTTCCACATGACTTTCTCTTTTCAATAGCTGTCGCATTTTCCTACAGAGGTAAATCTCTCCAGCTTTTTTCCCCCCAGATACTAAATGGCCAGATTAACACAAAGAAGCCATTTCTAAATCTCTCCCGCAGCTTCGATTTTCAATTGTCTTCTTGTGCATTTTTTTTAAAATCCTGCTCTAAAGAGGAAGAATATATGACATTCCCACCACCTCCATTCCTCCATTCTTGATGAGGTCCAAATCTCAAAGGCACTAGTAAGTCTAACTAACGGTGAGGAATGATAACAGCATTTGGAGGATCGCAGGTTGCCGATCTTTGAGTCAGCGTGAAACAAAGCACGGCGTCAAAAGCAAAAAGAGGACATCCACTCAGCCAGTCCCGTACTTTCCCTCTAAAATTAAAATGCTTGTAGCTGAAGGACGATGGCTTCGCGAGCAGCGGTCAGGGTCTAACCTAGCCCCGGGGCAAGCCACGTGATCTGGACTGGGAGCTCCCAGAATCCCTTGCCACTGGCCGGTCTTGCGAGGTCCCCAGGGGGTTGGAAGTCTGAAATCTCCGGGAAGAGCCGGTCGCCTACGCTGATGTAGCACAGCAGAGCGCACGCGCGGGCGCACGAACGAAAGCAGAGCCCGCTCGAGCCCTTCCTTTCCCTTTCCCGCGCCCTCTTCAACGGCCGCCTTCGCGCTCTCATCTGTGCGGAGACCGGGCGCCCGCGCCGCCCCCTCCCAGCCCTCCGCGGGGAAGGGAGGCGGGCCTGCTGAGTTTCCTCCCCGTTCCAATCGGTTTCCTGTCCCGCCCGTTTCCCCACCTCCGTCCCTCCCGCCCCATCAGTGTCTGACTGGCCGCCGCAAGAGGAGAAGCCAGTGTATGTGCGGCAACAACATGTCTGCTCCGCTCCCAGCCATTGTCCCGGCCGCAAAGAAGGCCACCGCCGCGGTGAGTGAGTAAAGGACCTCCTGGCGGTTCTCGTCTCCGGGGCGAGAGGGAGCGATGGGATAGAAGCTGGCCGGGCAAAGGGAGAGCAGAAGGAAGGGTCGGCTCTGGGTTGCGCAAGTGCGCCTGCAGCGGGGCTTGCTTCTGAGTAACGCGCCTGGGATCAACTATGGAAGCTGTTTTCTGACAGGGCAGAGGCGAGTCTGCCGCCTCTGTCATTGGCGCGGCGCCCTCTAATTTTCTGGAAATAATATTGTCGGAACGCCTGACCTTTTCTGATAAGTCTTGGTGGTTTGCTGCGATCTAGAGGGTTTTGGTCCAATAACAGGAATGCAAGATGATAATCTTACACGTACGTTTTCAAGCAAAATTCTCAGAATTTGACATTGTCCAGTAAGCTCTAATTTCGTAGGTCATCAGCATGCTTAGAAATTTAATTAGGTACTTCCGAGACTTCCTTGCTTCCAACTTTTATTACTTTATTTTATGAAGAAGCTGCAAAGCCTGTGTGGAAAAAAAAATGTTTTCCAATGTCTTCATTATAAATTCTTTGGGGGTAGATAGTATTTTTTAAAAAGCAAAAAATTTAAAAATGTGCGGGGTGTCACATAAAATTGTTGAAAAGATATAGAGAAAACAACACATTGATATTTTTAGCTGAAAGATAATCACTTTTTTCACCACTTTTAATTGTGTCTTTCGAAAGTGACTTGGTGTGAATCCTTGCATCAAAATAACTGAAGTGTGAATTAGAATTGTGTTAACATCAGCTACCATTCAAGAGTATCCTAAAGAAGTAGCATTAAAAACATTGTGCACTTAGTTGATGAAAATGATTTGAAATGTTGAGTTGTGAAATTTCTGAAAAATTTATTAATGGGACTCTGTTGCCACAGAATATTTCTCAGCTATTTTCTAGTAGCAATACTTTTGGATTATTATGTCTCTAACCAAGGGTAGATAATTTGATGTCCTTGAATGCCCAAAGATTAATTTTAAATGAGCATTCAGTGGCCACATTTGAAGATGTGATGATACCAAACAGTTCAGGGTGATAAAATAAAAAAGGAATTATGAAGAGGTCCAATCTCAGTGTAGCTATTAAGTTCAGTGTAAAGGGATATATGATGTACATTGGCAGAAAAAGTCTGAATTTCACCTATATGTTAATGGTATCTGAGCTGGCAGTGACCTATCTTCGAGTCATTGTGGACATGAAGATGTCAACTCAATGTGCCGTATTCTAAGAAAAAAGAGAAAAATCATACCTACGTATATGCTTAGGATGCTATTCCCTTATGGGTAAGCAGGTTTATGCAAAGTGCAGCAAATAAGTAAGAAATAGCAGACCAAAGAAATAAAGGCACCAGGTAAGAAAAGAAAATATAACCAAATCTAGTTTACATCAGTACTGTTCACTGTAACTTTCCATACCTATTTTTGATGCCACAACTATAGACCAATTCATATGTTTTGGAGATCTCATCAAGTCCATCTAACTGCAGTTTTCTTAGTCTTCCTGTTCCTCCCAATCCATTCATTTTTCATAAATTTATTTTGTAATTCAGTCCTAATTCATTCTTTCTATATGACCACATTGCCTCAATGAACTTCTTTTGTACTGGTCACTATTTTTATATTCAGTCCATCTTCTTTCATCACTAGGGATGTACAAAACACTCTGTGTATGAATGGTTCTGTGCATCAAACAGCTCACTGCAATTGGTTTGTGCTTAAATGAAAATATGTGCTTGGTCTGAGTATGGAACAAAATGGGGTTGTTTTCTTCCACATATGGACTGACATGTAGGTGTTCTGGGCAGGTGATTTTGAGTGGGAAAGAGTGGGAAAAAGTCAAGGACATTGGTAGTGGCTGAGAGGAGGCAGGAGAGGGACAGAAGAGAAGGTATGTATGTATGTATGTATGTATGTATGTATTTATTTATTTATTTATTTATTTAATCATATTTATATAGCCACCCATCTCACACAAGGTGACTCTGGGTGGCGTACAACAATTTAAAAAATACATAAAAATAACTACATATAAGAAACAGTAAAAACACACAAAACAGGAAGGGATAAAATTAATAAGGGAGCCATGGTAAAATCTCCCCAGTCCCCTGGGAACCCCTGATCACAAGGCCTGATCACATAGCCAGGTCTTGAGGGACTTACACAATGTTAAGAGGGATGGGGCTAATCTCACTTCTGGGGGGAGAAGATTCCACAAGGTGGGTGCCACAGCAGAGAAGGCCCACCTCCTGGGACCCGCCAAATATAATTCTCTAACAGACGGGATCCTCAGCATGCCTTCTCTGCCAGATCTGATGGGACGGGCAGATGTAATCGGGGAGAGGCAGTCCCTCAGGTAACCTGGCCCCATGCTCTGAAGGGCTTTAAAGGTCAAAAACAGCACCTTGAATTGGACCTGGAAACAAACTGGCAACCAGTGCAGCTCGTGAAGCAGAGGTCTAACGTGTACTACCCTAGGGGCACACATAACTGCCTGCGCTGCTGCATTTTGCACCAGTTGAAGCTTCCAGACACTCTTCAAGGGCAGCTCCATGTAAAGCGCATTACATAAATCCAAACGGGAGGTGACTAGGGCATGAGCAACAGTGATTAGGTGACTAGGGCATGAGTGACAGTGATTAGGTCCCTCTGATCTAGGAATGGGCACAACTGATGCACAACACAAAGCTGTGCAAAGGCCCTCCTAGCCATGACTGCCACCTGCTCTTTGAGCAGGAGTCATGAATCCAGGAGGACCTCCAGATTGTGCACAGAGTCTGTCTGGGGCAGTGCAACCCCATTCAGCACCAAAGATGGCATAACTCTAGCACCAGAAGGTTCTGGGAAGATTATGGAGTAAGCATGCTGGTTGACTATGCAGTAGGAGTCGAGCAGTGGCAGCTGAAGGGTATGGGGGAGGGAGGGAAGAGAAGGTGCTGGAAAGTTTGTAGATGGGCAAGCTGGTGGAATATGCTGCATTGAGATATGGGTGACAGAAGTGAAGGTGAGAGTCAGAATGAGGGCTTTTGTTTCTGTGAACTCTAGCTGATTCAGAAAAGTTCTACAGAACTTCTAAAATTTGCTGTTTATTTCAGGCTCTAAACATACTTTCTGCACACCTCTGTTCAGCACTTATTCACTCTTGAACCTCTCTCTTCTTTTACCTCACACATGTAAGTACCCCATCCCCATATATTCACCTTTTTTTTGCTCCTGGCATACCCAGCTCTCACTTCCATATAACAAAATTGGTAGAAATATATTGTTATACAGAACTATTTCTGCCTTTTTGATAAACATCCATTCCTTGCAATAGATCACATACTACTTACTACTTTTCTGTCAGCATTTGTATCTCTCAAAGGTTCTGCATCCATTTTCCCAACTTGGAAACATTCTACTAAGGTACAGAATTTCATTTACTTGCTCTGGTTTTTCACCATTTATATGCAATTTGTAATTATTCTATTTTACTTGCATGCACAATCATACAGCCTTTGATGTATTAGGTTTCAGATCCATGCTTTCTGTTGCATCATACAATGCACATAACATTCCCTTCAAAGCACTGGATTCTCGGGCAAGAACATAGCATCATCTGCATACAAAAATACATGCACATTCTTGTTCCAGACCAACACCTTTAATATCACCAGAACCACTATTTAAGTATTTATCCATAACCAAGTATGAAGATATCACAATTTGTCTTACTCCCTCTTCATTATTAAATCATTTACTAAATGTTTCATCTATTCCCACTAATGCTTTATTTTCATCATATATCTCTCTTAGTGTATTGAATAACCAAACTTCATATCATGCAAAACATTCTAAAGTTGAGGCCACTTTATCATATATGTTTTCTAAATCATCGACTGTGGTGCTGGAGAAGACTCTTAAGAGTCCCTTGGCCTGCTAGGAGGTCAAACCAGTCAATCTTAAAGGAAATCAACCCTGACTGCTCATTGGAAGGATAAATTACACAACCACTGCATACACAAACCACATCCATATTTTAACAAAGCAAATTACACAACCACTGCATACACAAACCACATCCATATTTTAACAAAGCAAATTACACAACCACTGCATACACAAACCACATCCATATTTTAACAAAGCAGATACTTTGGTCACCTAATGCGAAGAGAGGACTCTTTGGAAAACACCCTGATGCTGGGACAGATTGAAGGCAAAAGGAGAAGAGGACGGCAGAGGATGAGATGGTTAGATAGCATCACTGAAGCAATGAGCATGAAACTGAGCAAACTCAGGGAGGCAGTGCAGGACAGGAAGGCCTGGTGCGATATGGTTCATGGGGTCACGAAGAGTCGGACATGACTTAATGACAACAACAAAATTGTACAATAAACTTTTTCTAAAATTCATGTGTTTCTCAATGACCTGTTGAAGAGCAGAAATCTAATGCGTGTACATCCTTTGCCCAGCAGAAAGCCCCACTTCACTTCCCAAATTTTGCTCATTGTCACCACTTGTATCTTTTCAGTCAACGTTCTGCCAAGCACTTTCAAACTTTCAGGCATATAGTCTTCACATGAGTATTTAACAAATTACACAACCACTGCATACACAAACCACATCCATATTTTAACAAAGCAAATTCCATGTTTGAAACAATTGGGAAAGGAATTGAAAATAGTATTTCTGATGTAATAATGCCATTGTGCAAGTAGTTGGTGACCACAGGTTAAAACAGTGTTTCTCAACCATGGCAACTTTAAGCTTTGTGGACTTCAACTCCCAGAATTCTCTAGTCAGCATGCTGGCTGTGGAATTCTGGATGTTGAAGTCAACACAGCTTAAAGTTGCCAAGGTTGAGAAACACTGGCTTAAAAAAACATTATACCATTAGAAAATGTACAAACAAAGTACAAAATTATTAGGGGGGTTAGAGCAGTTTCTTTCTTGAAATGAAAGAGGGCAAGCATTGAGGAATAAAGTAAACAGTGACAGAGGTAACTTGAATAGAAGTAACTTTTTATCCATGCCTTGCATTGTTAGAACTCAAAGTTACCCACTGCAACTAAATACGGGGAGATTCAGGATCAACAGAAAAAGATACTTTTTCACATAGCATATAGCTAAACTGTAAACTATAGATTTTGCTACAAGCACTTGTGCCTAGGGTAGCCAATTTTGATGGTTTTAAAAGGGCACTGATTATGAATGGGACTGGGTTATTTGAGCAACCATCTCTCTCTAATCACACCTACGTATCCCATCAGGTCCAACAGGAGGGGCATCGTCCAAGTCCCATCTGCTAGAGAGTATTGTCTGGCAGGGCCCAGGAAGAGAGCCTTTTCTGTCACGGTTCCCACCCTGTGGAACATCTTTCCACTGGAGATCATATCGGCCCCCAACCCTACTGGCTTTTCACAAGGCCTTAAAAACATGGTTTTGCCAATGGGTGTGAGGACCCAGAAATATGGTAGAGCCTGTGTAATGGCTGTATTGACTGTTGTATATGGAGATGATTATCTCAGCTATGAATTTTGTTTTATGATTTTATATGGTTTTCTATTGTTTTTATTGCTTTTATTTGTTGGATTGGTTTGCTGTTTTTATTCTGTTTTTTCATTGTTTGTGAATTGCCCAGAGTCTTGTATCAGTGGCTATATACATTTGAGAAATAAATAAATGGCTACTAATATTGAAAGGTATTTACTGCCTCATGAATCATAGGCAGCATACCTTAAATACTTGTTGCTGGAAAGTCATCCACCATCCACTAGTTGCTGGATACTCATTGTCGAGTTCAGGCTTGTGAGCTTTTCAAATGCATCCAGTTGGTCATAAAAAGCTGGTTTAAATGGGCCTATGCCTGATCTAACAGGCCTCTTATGCTCTTATAAGCTGGTACGTTGCAGAGCAAATAACTGGCTTCTAGTATCACATTTATTTTCAGTAGTGTCTTTGGACTTCACAACAATATTGCTGGGTTAGCAGAGACTCGTAGGAGACTAAAAGATCAAGAGTCTTGTAGCATCTTTTCTGACTAAAAAAAATTATTAAAAGGCGTAAGCTTTTGTGATCTGCAGCTCGCTTCATCAGATGCATGAACTGGCTAGACTGCTGTAGGATTTAAATTGTGACAAGGTGGTGAGAGAGATAGGTTGGACTAGTTTGCCTTCCATAAGCGGGCATTTTGTTACTAGCTATGCCAATTTCCTCTCCTAGGGCAGCTGTTTTATGAATGTGCTTACCATGTGCTCCCCAAATTTCAAATTTGCTCAGTCCAAAGAAGATTGTTTAACTCTACCCATAACCCCTGATGATTTTGTGCTCTTCAATAGAAGAAATAATAAATAATATTTACTTATTTTCTGCCTATGACAGAACAAGATCTATCATTACAGTGGATTAAAAAGAAAAAAAAAGAAACAAATTTAAGTTCAAAACCTAAAATCAGAATATTTAATAAATTGGTTTAATAGTACTAAGCACAGATGTTAGTATAAAATGGATTAAATTGATATGTTAATTAAATGCCAAAAATAATATGCTAATACAAATTATTCAGATTTTCAGAAATCTTGTATATTTCTCTCTTTCTTTCTGTCTCTTCTTTCTCTCCACATATACACACATATAGATATAGATATGTAGAAATAACTTCTACATATGTGTTAAGAGTGCTGTAAGTACCAAAATGATGCACTTTTGATAGCTTTTGATGTATTTTAGTGCTCACACTTCGTCTTTAGCTGTATCTATTGCAATTAGATTTATGGAAAGTAAGCACAAGCTGAATGTTGCTGAAGAATTAGGTATATAGAGTAACTTTCTGGCATACAGTAATGCAATTCATATACTATTTAATTCTAGGTCATATTTCTCCATGGATTAGGAGATACTGGGTAAGTAAAATGGCTTTTTAAATAAACAATTTGAGCCTTTGAAACTACCTTCTACTATTTGCGATTTGCAAAGAAAAATGTTGTGTTTATTGTTACGCTATGCTAAATGTAGATGTTTATACCTCATTTGGTAGATATCTGTGTGGTCAGTAAAAGTTGAAACTTACTTAATGGTACCAGTATTGATTGGAGAAATAGCTATTAGAAGATATTAGTGAATGCTTCTGGATTTAATTCTTAAAGATTCAGTTAATGAGAATATTTGAACTATGTGAATAGTCATTTTTAGTTACTTTGTTAAAATTATGTGCAGATTGCTATTTGATCTAAAATTGCTGTGGTTAAGTCAAAACAAGAACAAACAGGAATCTTTCACACAAAACTTCCTTGTAGGTTCCTCTTTAAAGATAAATCTTCTATAAGATCTTGACTGTGCAGTTTCATATGCATATATTCAGAAATAAGTCCTGATGATGTCAGTGAAGTTTAATCCTTACTAAGCCTGTTAGGAGCTGCAGAAGTAATGTATTTTGAATTATTAAGAGTGAAAAGTTCCTGTTGCTCTGGGATGTGAATGCTGAGAGGAAAAATACCTTAATTTTAATGCTGTTTTCATTAAAAATAAAATTCCTTCCATTTTGTTAATGGAAAACTAGCATTTGAGGGGAACATTAGGGAATGCCATACTGTGAAATGTTTTCTCTTTATGGATGAAAAACATCTTTTAAAACAAAATATGATAGATGAAGATGCTTACCGAAGTTACTCAACAGTGCTTTTAGCATTTTTAAGGATGTTTATTGTTGAAATAATATGCATGATAATGATACCTAATTTATAATGACACAGAGAAGTGATTCCAGACAGCCTCCAGAGCTAGATATTTAGATGGCTGGGTACTATTTGCCAGTAGTTATTGTGGCTCACCCCTATGCTTTGTTGTGAGACATATGTTGTGGCCTCAGTCATCACATGCTCACATATTGCATATGGCTAACAGATAAATAGAATAACATAGTGTTTGTATTTAACAATTTGCTCAACATCACAGCAATACACTCTGAAATGTATAGGTATATGCATACTACATATTTTATATAGGTAAATTGTCTAAAAAAAAGTACAGCATAAATTGAGATTCACACTTTCTACAATAGTGAAGAATTTAAAAAAAAAAAACAGCATTAAGCTTTCCTATAAGGCAGGCAGCAGTGTTTTTTGTATGTCAATAAGGTTTACTTTCTAAATATGTGCTCAATTGACTTCTCATTTCTACCCTACTCCTATCTTGAGCTAGCTCCAGTGGTAGCAAGGACAGAATCTGTGCCATCTGTTTTGTTACCTGAATCTTTGCAGCTTGGGGAAAAAGCCAACCCAAATGCAAGATGTCAAACATCATTGGAGAAAAAAATATTTTTTGTCCCAAGGTCAGGGCAGAATTATGGAACATAAAGTGTTTTGTTCTGAGCTCAGAACCTTTGAAACAGTCATTTTGAATTCAGAATGTCATCCATGGAATTAATTATATACTCCTAGAGCTTGTATATATTACAAATTGAGTATTGCATATAAAATCCCAGTATTCTGGGATTTCCCCTTCCCTTGGTAGAAAGAACACCTGGATAATTTCTATGGCTTCAGTATCTTATAGTTCTACTCATATACCTAATATTTGATCTTACATCTTGAATTTTTTATTTATTAAATTTAGGGATTGCTCAACTCCAGAATGATTCTGGGGAGCTTACAATTTGAAATAGAAAAATAATAAAAAATAATCTATAGCATCTGGACACCATGGAACACTGACAGGACTCTACAACCACCCTACCCAAAACCCTAGGAGAACAGCCATATTTTTAAAGATCTCTGGAACATCATTAGAATTTCTGGATGTCATCAGAAGGGCAGAAACCGTGGGAAATAGGCAGCCCTTCAAATAACCTGACCTATGCCATGAAGGGCCTTTTAGGTGACAATCAGGACCTTGAATTACACCTGGAAACTCACTGATAACCTGTGGAGCAGGGATGTTACATGGGCATATAGAGGCATACCCAACACTACCTGTGCTACTGCTTTCTAAATCAACTACAGCTTCCAAGTGGTCCTCAAAAGCAGACCTAAGTAGAGCACATTGTAATAATCCAAGTGTGAGGTGACTTGGGCATGAGTGACTATCTGAAGGGTCTCCCGATCCAGAAATGGTGCAACTGGCACACAAGATAAAGCTGTGCAAATGGACTGTGGTATTTAAATAGCTGGTATATGGTATTTAATAATAATAATGATAGGGTGAATATGGTATTAGTTGGGTAACATTTGTTATGTAAATAAGGTAATTGTAATTTCTAGAAATATAAATCAAACTGACATGGTCTACGATTAAGTATAGTAAAGAGAGCTAAATGGTTCAAACTAAATCAAAGTAGCAAAAACATATTGATTGAAATCAGTGCAGTTTGTACTGTCAGAATTGACACCATAAGAAATATGGTGTTAAATCTGCTATCATAAAAATGCAGATGAGCCATAATAGCTTTTCAGTAATCATACATTGTTGAACTTAATTGTTTAAAGCAAAAGTGGAACACTGTGGCTCTTTAAAGAGCAGACAATATATAGGAAAATTTTGTTAAATTATTTTGGTAGTAAATTTAATCTATCACAACAGTCAAAGTACCCTGATGATCTTGGATGCTCTTGAAAAACTAAGCACAATTGGACTTGGTTAGGTTAGATAGGAGATCACCAGGAAACCCCACAGCTATAGACTAGGTTGGGAAATTGAGTAAACATCCTGAAAGAAAGCAGTAGCAAATAATTTCTGTATTGTTGCTAAGAAGCTTATATGGTGATATAGTTACCAAGAGTCAAACTCCACTCAAGGGAGACTATTTTACAATCATAAGTGTTTTGATTATTAATAGTTCTCCTATTTCCATATATGATAAGAGATTAATGGGAATTAGAAATACATACTTTAAATAGCTTTGGAAGATTTTGAATAACAATTTGTTCTCTATATTCCTATAGGCATGGCTGGGCAGAAGCATTTGCTGGTATTAGGAGTCCACACATAAAGTATATTTGTCCACATGCGTAAGTATGTTAATATTTTCTGTTGCTGTTTCCTCATAATTCTCAAGAATAAATCTGACAGAATCCTGTGGCCCATCTATGAGAAAGAAATTATTTATGTACATTATGGTTTCAACAACTTGGTTTTTCTTAAGTAATCTTATCTCAGCATATTCAAAGCATGGACCAACCCTTGCTTGAGCTTTGGTTGTCCCGCTTAGGGCTGACCACTTGCTTGGTGGTGGTGAAGAGCAATTTAATATAAATAATGATGCGAGTGTACATCATGCAGCAGGTATCCACTAGTGAGTTGCTTTAACTTATGAGTTACCCTTATGAACTGTTCCTTAATGGTACCATGAACTGAGACAGGACAGAAAAGCAAGTTCCCAGAACCACCATCTAAAATTCCTAATTGTTTGAAAGAACAAATGGTTGTAAAAATCTGTTTGGGCTGGACATCTAAGAAATATGCCATATAATTAGCAATGCATGCATGGCTCAGTATCATCAAGAATTCTGACTCTTTCTTGACTGGTTTGTGAAAAAAGTAATGGTATCATAGGCAAACATGTAAGATTTTGAGAAGGTAAAAGCAATATCAGAAGCCAGAGATTTTATTTTGCAATAGATTCAATGTCCTTTTCTTCTGTTGTGGAATGACAGTGTATTAGCAGAAGCTTTGTGGTCCCATCCTTTTAGTGTTTGTATCAGCTTTTTTGTAAATTAAAAAAAAGAAAAACAAAACAAAAAGTAATTGGGCTTCTGATAGTTTTAGACTTAAACCTATTTACCTAAGGTTTACAAAGTGGGAAAGCATCTGTCCTAAATTCTAAAAGAAAAGGATGTCAATTGTATTCTAATCATGTGGTACTCTATGACTAATTTTGCAAGGTACCTGAATTTAAACAATTGTTTCATCTTCTATGGAATATCCTTAAGCTACTTTAAACTTTTTATACATATTAGTATAGATTATCACATTGTAATGAGAAATGAGGAAAAGAGGTGTGTTAGGGAACAACATGCTGTAATTCTATGATTTAAAAAAATTAAAAGCATAAATTAAGAGACTAAACCTAATAAGAAACTACAGTACAGTAAGATTGTGTTCTATCTTATCTTTTTATTGTTTGACCCTACCTCTTGGAAGAAATGCAATACAAGTAGAATGAAAATTCAAGGGAGGTGTGAAAAATGGGTCCTAGCAGTTATCGTAGTGAATATCAAGTTATGTAGTATTCAGGGACTGAATAATACTATCAGCTACATTTCTTTTCAAGTTCTTAAAGCTATTGAAATCATGATATCAGAATTAGTGATTATATTAGTTAAAGATTGCAGATGTGTTTAAAATTAGTCTAGCATTTGCTAAAATGCAGGAGAGAATATTTAAAATATTCTTGCTAACCTTTAACTAAATCTTTCTTTACACAATTTCAAGGCCTGTCATGCCAGTTTCTCTCAACATGAATATGGCCATGCCTTCCTGGTAAGTGATGGATTAAAAATAATTTTCTGTAGTTCTTTGTTTTTAATTTTGAAACATTCCTGTGCTTATTTATTCCTGTAGTTTATACTGTTTATACCGAAGAATAAGTGGAAAGGGACTTAATTAGCCACTGATGCATGGACTGCTAATTTCATGTCACATTGGATAAGATATATGATCTTGGGTCACAAGTATGTCCTATCTGTAGACTATACCTTATAAAGGGGAGAGAAGCCAAGATGGCAACTAACTAGCAGCTCCTCAAACAAGTACCCAACTTGTAACTGGCCTCACCCCTCTGGCTCAGTCCCTACAGCCTAAACATGTCATGCAGAGGAAAGAAAATAATTTAGACAGTCACAGTAATGATACTGGGCCCCATTAAATCCAATGAAGCAGGGAAACAGATGAAGATCAACTCCTGTCTCCCTACTACAGAGTCAGCATGAATCATGAGTAATAGATTCACAGCTTCAGGATACCCTCCTCGCCCCCCCCCCAACCTAATTCTACTACACGAAGACACGTAACAACGAACGGA